CCGCCTCCGCAGGTACTGGAGACGCCCCACCCCGCCGCGGTCACGGGTGGGGGCACCCGCAGCATCCCCTCCCATCCTGCCCACCCAGCCCCAAGGGTGGGTGATGCCCTGGCAATGAGGGGGGTTAATCCACCTACACCTTCCCGCAGCACCCGATTTTCGGGTGTGCCCTTAATTAAGAGGGTGGGGAGCTCAGACCGGACACTGCCTGTGGGCTCCCAAGCTGTGCCACTGGACTGGGACGTGGCCTCCTCACCCCTGAGGATGTGACTTACAGCATCCTCAAGGCACAGGCCATCCCACACACCCAGCAGGGATGGGGGCGGACAATCCCTCAGCTCTGGCTTGGCCCAAAAGTGGACACTGAGGCAAAGCCACCCCAGGATGGGGGGACTCAGCCCCCACCCCGGGGGTGTCACCACTGAGGAGCATCAAAGTGTCACCCAGTGGGTGCCTTGTAGGTTCTATGAGAAGGTCCAGGTGCTGCACCAGGACCCCGAGGCCTCGGTGGACAATCCCTTGCTGGCCTTCAGCCTCATCAAGCGCCTCCACTCCGACTGGCTCAACATCATCTACAGCGACGAGGCCACTGGGAATGCCCAAGGTATGGCCACGTGTCCCCTCTGTCACCTGGCAGAGCCAGATAGTGGTGGGGAAAGGATGGAGGAGCAGGAGAATGGATGGATGGAGAAGAAGAGGTGAACGGGTGGAGGAGCAGAATGTGGAAGAGCAGGAGAATGAAAGGAAGAAAAGGGTCAATAGGTAGAGGAGCAGGAGAATGGAGCCAGGGAATGGATGGAGGAGCCAGGGGGTGGATGGAGAAGCAGGAAAATGGGTGGAGGAGCAGAATGGATGGAGAACCCAGGGAATGGATGAGGGAAAGGAACATGTGGAGGAGCAAGGGAATGGATGGAGAAGGAGAGCAGGCAGAGAAGCAGAAGAATGGATGGAGGAGCAGGGGAATGGATGAAGGAATGGAACATGTGAAGGACCACAATAAATGGAGAAGAAGGGGAATGGATGGATATGGGGTCCCTAGGGATCGAGAAGGCGATTACACCCCAAAACCTCATTAATTCCCCACCCTGCACCTCATTCCCACCCTGCAGCACTCCATGCCGGTCTCAGGGAGGTGGAGCGGGAGCTGCCTGGAGCCGAGGACCTGGACGGGGCAGCCCGGGCACTGATGCGGCTGCAGGACGTCTACGCCCTCAGTGTCAAGGGCTTGGCCAACGGCGTCTTCCAGCGATCCGGCACCGACCACCCGCCCCTCTACAGCCCGGGCCGGCGCGTCTCCCTCTCCGCTGATGACTGCTTCCATGTGGGAAAGGTGAGTGCAAGCCCCATCAGCCCCCACAAAGCTTTTCCAGCCCAGGACATTGCTTCCATAGGGATGGACATGGCAGTTTTTTTGCATTGGGTGAGATGGAGGTGCAGATGCAGATGGGGATGGAAACTGAGATGGAAAGGGAGATGGAGATGACCAGGATGTGTGGAGATGGGACAGGAAAGGAAGGGATGATGTGGGAGGGAACCGGGATGGAGATGGGAATAGGAAAGTGACAGGATGTAATGGGACAGAATGGGTGGGTGCAATGGGATGGCATAGAATGGCATGAGGATGAGATAGAATGGGATGGGACAGGATAAGGCTGGGTAGGGACAGGGTGGAAGGAGATAGGGTTGAGATTGGGATGAGGATGGTGATGGGGACAGGATGGGATAAGAAGGGGATGGGATGGGTCAGGATGGGATGAGGGTGGGGATGTGGTGGGATGGTAGAGAAGGGGACGGGATACAGGCCAGGATGGCCCAGCTGGCAGGTCCAGGTGATGTGTTGCCTCACAGGTAGCCTATGACACAGGTGACTATTACCACTCCATCACGTGGCTGGAGGAGGCTGTCAGCCTCTTCCGCCTCTCCTACGGCAGCTGGAACCCGGAGGACCGGAGCAGCCTGGAGGATGCTCTGGACCATCTCGCCTTCTCCTACTTCATGGTACAGCCACAAGCCCCCTCCCCATCCCCACAGTGTCCATAGAGCCAAACCACAGACAGGGGATGCTGATGGCCTCTCCACTCCCCCATCCAGGCTGGAAACATCTCCCATGCCTTGAGCCTCTCCAGGGAGTTTCTCCACTACGGTATGTGGGACAACCTTGGCTGCAGAAGGATGAGGGGAGAGGTTTTGGGACGTCCCCATCAGCTCTGTGTGGCAACAGCCTCCTTCACCCCATTTCTCGCCCCCACGTGGGGCAATTCCCCAGGGAAAGGGGGTGATGGGGACATGGTATTTTGGGTGACACCACCTCTCCGGCAGATCCCAGTAACCAAAGGGTGACAAAGAACGTGGCCAAGTATGAGAAGCTGCTGGAGATGGGGACGGGGGTGAGCGCCAGACCCCTGAGACGCCCCAACAGCACCCGTCTGCAGAGCCGGGACGCCTACGAGGAGCTGTGCCAGCGCCCCAGGGGGCAGGTGGGGCTAGCAGGGGGTGCCATGGTCACCCCCCAACCACTGTGTCCCCCCGCCCCTTATGCCCTCCTTTGTCCTCTTTCTTCCCAGCCGGCCCCAGAGCGGCTCCTGCACCTTGGCTGCTCCTATGAGACCAACAGCAGTCCCTACCTCCTCCTCCAGCCTGCCAAAAAGGAGATGGTCCAGATCCGACCCTATGTGGCACTGTACCATGATTTCATCAGCGATGCTGAGGCTGAGACCATCAAGGGGTTGGCAGGGCCCTGGGTGAGCTGTCCCTGTCCCCAGGGATGTCTCTTCCCTGGAGGAGGGTGTCCCGAGAGCTGAATGCAGAGATAGGAGGGGTTTTAAGGTAAAGCTCAGCCAAAGCCTTCTCCTGCAAGTCCAGGCTGGACAGGGCTTGGAGCAACGTGGTCTAGTGGAAGGTGTCCCTGCCCATGGAGCGGGGGTGGAACTGGATGATCTTTAAGGTCCCTTCCAACCCAAACCAGTCTGTGATTCTATGAGACCTTTGGGTTGATAAGCCCTACAAAAGAATTTTTGGGAGAAACCAAGTTCACACATGCACCTGAACCACTTCCCTAACCAAGTTTGACTTGGTGACACTCAACTGTGTTTGATCTGTAGGACACCTTGGGGTGGGGATGTTTGGCAGCCAGCTGGTAGGCACCAACCTCGATCCTGACTGGGGTCTCTGCTTGGTGTGAGGGTCGCCATGTGCAGCAACCCTCCACCCTTTGTCCTCCAGCTGCAGAGATCCGTGGTCGCCTCTGGGGAGAAGCAGCAGAAAGCCGAGTACCGGATAAGCCAGAGGTGGGAGACACCCCCCACCTTGTCCTCCAGCCAGTGGGACCACCGTGGCCACCACCGAGGTGGCAGTGAAGCCACGCTGGGCAGGCCTGGTGCCTCCAGCAGTGCTACAAGGGTTAAGCCCAGCCTGAATTCAGGGGGCTGAAGGTGGGGTGGTCCCGCAGTGCGTGGCTGAAGGACACGGCTGACCCCGTGGTGAGGGCCTTGGATCGGCGCATCGCTGCCATCACCGGCCTGGACCTGCGGCCACCCTACGCCGAGTACCTGCAAGTGGTCAACTATGGGCTGGGAGGCCACTATGAGCCACACTTCGACCATGCCACGGTCAGGGAGCTGCCTGGGTGAACCACGGGTGGGCTGTGGGGGGATGTTCCTGTGGTGCTCTTGGGGTGCTCTTTGGAGTGCTCCTGGGGTGGCCTCTGGGATGTTCCTGGAGGTGGTCCATGGGGTGGGCTCTGGAGTGGTCCCTCATGTTCCTGGAGATGGACCCTGAGGGTGGTCTTTGGGGTGATTCCTCAGATGTTCCTGAAGGTGGACCATGGGGTGGTTCCTGGAGGTGAACCCTGGGATAGTCCTTCAGATGTTCCTGGAGATGGACCCTGGCGGGGGGGTGGTCCCAGGATGGTGATCCCTGGGTGGGTGCCCTGGGAAGGCAGGGGAGGGAGGAAGGAGGTGAGGGAAGAGGGAAGGAAGGAGGGAGAGAAAAGAAGGGAGAGGGAGGGATTTCCCAGGGAGGGGGAGCTGCTTGGAACTCTTGGGGCATGAGGTGCTTCTGGGCTGAGCTGCATCAGCACTGGACTGACCATTCCCACCTCCTCACTCTTGGAGCAGTCCAGGAAGAGCCCCCTTTACAGAATGAAGTCAGGCAACAGGATCGCCACAGTCATGATCTATGTGAGTCCTCCCTCATTCCCACACCTGGAGACACAGCCCTGATGCAGTCTCAGTAGGGTTTCAGAGTGAACGGGGCAAGGGCAGCCCTCAGATGCTGCAGCGGGGTGTTAAACACCAATGCTTGGGCACTATTTTGGAGCTTGTGCTGCAGCAAAGCAAGGGAAATGCAGTTGGGGACTGAGGGAGGAGTCGTGCCTCACTTTCCTTGTGCAGAGCAGCTAGATCTTGGGAAGAGGGACAACCATGGCTCCTGTTTTTGCTCCTTTTCCAGCTGAGTGCAGTGGAGGCTGGGGGCTCCACCGCCTTCATCTATGCCAACTTCAGCGTGCCTGTGGTCAAGGTGAGGGTGACCCACTGAACCCCCAGGAACAGAGAAGGGGGGATGCTGCTCCCTGGATGTCAGCTCTTGCAGGGAATTGTGCTCAAGCCTGCTCTGATGCCAAACCCCAACCCTGGGGCTCCCAGCCCTGTTTTAGGGTGACAAACCTCAACCCCAGATCTCCCATCTGTGTTTTGGGATGCCAAAATCCATTAATTGGGATCCCAGCTCTGTTTTGGGGTGCCAAACACTAACCTTGGAACTCCCAGCACTGTGATGTTTTGGGATGTCAAAATCCAGTTTCAGGGATCCCAGCCCTGTTTTGGGGTGCCAAAATCCAGCCCTGGGGCTCCTGGCTCTCTTTGTGGGCAGTCAAACCCTGATCCCACAGCTCCCAGCTTTGTTTTGGGGTGACAAACCTCAATCCCAAGGCTCCCTGATATATTTTGGGGCGCCAAACCCCAATCTCAGGGATCCCAGCCCTGTTTTGAGGTGCCAATACTCAGCCCTGGGCTCTGGCTCCTTTTGAGGGATGTCGAATCCTACAGTTCCCAGCTCTGCTTTGGGGTGCCAAACCCTAACCCTGGAGCTCTCACCTGTGTTTTGGGATGTCAAAATCCAGTCTCAGGGATCCCAGCTCTGCTTTAGAGTGCCAAAATCCAGTCTCTGCTCCTCAGAATGCCGCTCTTTTCTGGTGGAACCTGCGGAAGAACGGGAATGGTGATGGTGACACTCTCCACGCCGGCTGCCCTGTCCTGGCTGGGGACAAGTGGGGTGAGAGACACTGCTGGGTGTCACCCTGGGGTGACACAGGGTTGGATAGGCAGGGAACACACAAAAATCCTGGTTAACAGGGAAAAAGGTCCCCAGTATCAGCACAGAGTTGGAGAAGGGTGCAGAGGGACACGGACAGACCAGGATTTGTGTCCTTGACCCTTCCAGTGGCGAATAAGTGGATCCATGAGCATGGGCAGGAGTTTCGGCGGCCATGTGGTGCTGACCCAGGGGACTGAGCCATCGTGGGATTGTGGATGTGGCAAAACCATCCCAGCACAGCATGTTCCCAAGGCTGGAGTGAGAGGGAGGGAGGGAAGGAGGGAAGGGGGTGGAAGCATAGTGGGGGGTGATCCGGGGGGCTGTCACCTGCTCAGCCACGACTAAATCGTGTGGAAATAAAGTCAAAGGGCACTAAAATGGAGTCTCTTTTGGGGTGACAAACCTAATCCTGGGGCTCCCAGAGCTGTTTTGGAATGTCAAAATCCAGTCTCAGCGATCCCAGCTCTGTTTCAGGATGACAAACCCTAACCCTGGGACTCCCATCTGTGTTTTGGGATGCCAGAATCAAGTCTCAGGGATCCCAGCTCTGTTTTGGGGTGCCAAAACCTCAATCCCAGTGCTCCCATCCATGTTTTAGGATGCCAAAATTCAGTCTCAGGGAGATGGCAGCTCCTTCCACCCCTCCTGGCTCCCCGCCTGGCCGCAGACACATTCCCTTTCTCCAGCGTGACCACAGCTCCTCAGTGACTGGAAGGCCAAGAGGAAGCAGCCGGGATCTCCAGCAGCGCCTGGAGATCAGGCAGGAGCCCCCAGCTGATCCCCCTAGGCACTTCCCAGGGGAAACAACCCGGATGAAGTGAGGGTCGAGGTGGAGGATGCCATTGACACAGAAACTCTGTGTCCATCCACCCTCATCTAGGAACATTTGGATGAGATTCAAATCCTCTGGGATCCCCCCCAGCTCCCCGCGGGGGTCGAGGCAACCACGTCACCTCTCAGGCTCTTTCCTAGCTGGAAGAAAAAAGGACAAAAATTATTAAGGGGGAAGGAAACAGCAGGCAGACCTCTCCCAAGGGCTATCCTGCTCACTTTCAGTTAAAAAATGTGCATTTATCACTCCTTGGCCGCTTTATGCAGCCCTGGATTAACCCTTCCGTAGGCACACAGGGGTGGAGGGGAGCTGCAAGCAGTGTTCAGGCAGGACAGCAGGAGCTGGAGCACTGGGAAGAGGCTCCAGGAGCCCTTTGGGGGTCTGTTAAACCTGCCTGACTGTGAAACAGCCTGGAAGATTTCCAATTTCCCCAAATTCCTGCTTTTTCAAACAGGAACAACTATGCCAGGACTCAGAGATGGTTGGACAGAGCACAGGTTACTCAGCAGCCCGAGGGCCATGGTTTATTACTTCCAGATGTTTCTGTACACATGGGAGTTGGTCATGGAAAGGAGTGGGAAAAGCAAAAGCTGGTGCTAAATTCCCCATTTTCCCCCACACTACAGCGCAGGGAAGGGATGGAGGAGCATTTTGGATGACAAGAGGCTTCCATGAGTCACCAGAAAAACCCAAGGCTTGGGGATGGCACAGGAACAGCTGGATCAACACCTTTCTTCCACTGGCTGCTCCGAGGAGCCCAAGTACCACAGCTGAAGGGAAAGCAGGAATTCCTACTCCAGGCTTTTCACAAATGCTTTATTTGTAGGCGAGGGAAATGGACACGGAACAAGACGGGAACAGGATGTGGCTGACACGGGACATGGCGCGCGGTCTCTGGAGAACTCACACACACGCGCACACACACACATACACACACATTTTCCATCTGGGAATAGCAGCACGTGGTAAAAGGTCACCCTGCCAGACTGGGAATGCTCGGCCACAACTGACCAAGCATCCGACAGCAAAGCTTGGATCAAACACCTATCCCTATCCTGTTGTTTTGGGATGCCTTACGGACACGGTGCCATCAGATGGGTCACTATGGATGACACAACCAAGGGATGCAAGACTGGGCAACACAAAGGGCACTTCCAGGCTGTGAGATGGGTAGTAGATGCACCAGGGCCAGGATTTCTTGGAAGGGACAACCCATAAACTCAATTTTTTGACCTCAGCTGAAGATTCATGTCTAGATTTCCAAGAGCATGGAGCACCAGTTCAAACCAGTGAATCACTGGTTGCCAGGCTCTTTTCCCAGGCCTTTCTGCTCCCAAGAGAAAAGGGAATAGTGGAAGGGAGGATAAATGTCAGTGCCAAAGTTACAGAACCAGAGTAATTTGGGTTGGGAGCAACCATAAAGCTCATCCAATTCCAACTCTCTCCCACTACACCACATTGCTCCAAGCATCGCCCAACCTGGCCTTGAACACTTCCAGGGATGGGGAATCCACAACCTCTCTGGAAAACCAGGGCCAGAGCCTCAAATGTAAATTAATTTTTTCTTAATATCTAATCCACCCTCCTGGGGGGAATTTTTCAATGCATGGCTCTGGTTGGAATGGGCTTCCTCAGGTTTTCCAGGCCTTTCTGTGGCCAAAAAAGGGAAAAATAACAACTTTGTCTATAAAGGTATTACCTTTGCAAATGCTGTCACAGCCTGAGGGGAGAATTCCATCTGGAAAACCCCAGGTCTGAGTTTTCATTCCATGTTCAAGGGTTGGTTTATTCAAAGCAAGACCGCGTGCATTAGCAATAGAGGAAATAATCTTTTTCCAACTATCTCAGTGCTCCATTCAGTCACTGATGGCTTTTTTTGGTGTGTATAATGTGGCAAAACCTGTCCTAGGCCTCATTTTTTCATTTATTTATTTAATTTATTAAATTAAAGCAAAGCCTGTGGCAAACCAGCCTCCCAAACTGCATCTCATGCTCCTGCCAAGCCTTGGGATCTTCCACTGGGAAAGTTTCTACTGATCTTAGATCCAACAACTGGAACAAAAGCAAGTGTGATTTCTAAATAATCCAAAGGCTGCAGGAAAAACACAGTGAAAAGCTGGGAGTTAGGGGGCAATTCACTCTGTGCCCCTGTTTTTCATGAGCTGAACAGAATATGCCTTCTCTCTGCAGTCCCTTTTCTCACAGCCTGTGCTATCCCTCATCCAAATCCCATTTATCCCAGCCTGTAGCTCCCTGGAAACTGCAGCAGGAGCATTAATACTTCTCAGACAAAAGTACAGTCTCAAAAATGTACATGGCTTGACTGAACCAAAAGGAATTTCCCCTCCACCCACTCCCACACTGCTGCTGTCCCTGGAATTCCTTTTTTTTTTTTTTTTAAATCCAGCACCAGTCCCTGAACTACTCCCACTTATTTCAGGCAAGGCAGGGCTGGGAGCTCAGCACAGAGGGACACACCATTAAATAGGCTGTTGAAACATTTATTTTCTTTTCACTCACCTCTCAAATGTTAAATAACAAAACAGAATCCTACAGCCCCAGAGGCCACAAAGGCCCCACAGATCCTAGAGGCCCCAAAGGCCTCCCATGCCCCATAGGGCCATATAGGCCCCCTAGACTACATATGCCCCACAGACTTCAAAGGCCTCACAGGCCCTCTGGACCACATGGGCCCCATAGGTTACCCAGGCCCCACAGACCCCATGGGCTTCAAAGGCCGCACAGGCCCTACAGGCCGAACAGGCCCCATGGGCTACATAGGCCTCATCAACAGGATTCCAAAAGCCATACCTTTTCCAGTGGTGCCTGTAGAGAATACAGAACTGATCTGCTTTCCACGGAGCGGTCTGTGTGGTTGGGATTTATTTTTCAGATCTCGTAAATGAAACAGATAACACGAGGAATCCCTTGGATTCTCCAAGTTACTTACAAAGGAGGAATGTGAATTCACCAGGATCATTCAGGATTATGACCACAGGCTTAATTATCCCAGGAAGTGAGACTCTGGATACAGACACTGTATTATTTAATCCCTAACAATTTGAACAAAGGAGTCACCTGGAAAGGAGAATTTTGCCAATTTTCAGGATATGTCTCCAGAAGGTATTATTTTGCATCTCAATTATTGAAGATCCATTGAATCCATAAGGAACAGGGTGGACATCAAGGCCACAGGAAGTTAATGTGGTAATTCACATGGTGACTTACAGAGGGAAATGCTGGGAACCAGCAATTTCCTTTAATCACCTGACGGCCAAAGTGCCAGGAGGGAGCAGAGCTCTCTGGAATGAGCTTTTCCTGTCCCTTATCCAGGCACTTCCCACCCTGATGTGTCAGAAGCAAGGCCAGGACCACTGTGCCCAGTGAATCAGAGATGAGTGGATTTCCACCAGGCTCAAAGTTAAACCCTTTGTCCCACCTGCACCTCTCTCAAATGCCAAGAATTCCTGATGGCTCTTGTCATGGGATATACACATGGATGCAAATGACAGCTCCCAAATCACAAAAATCATCCTACAGCAGCAAAGGGTTATGGACATCAGGCAGGAAAAAAGGGATTTCAGATATCCACTGGGAAAATATTGAGGAAAACTGCTCCAAAACATGTCTGCTCTTACACTCACACGTGATTCTGTCTAGGGATAATTTATCCTTGAAGAAAAGCTCTCTGTGTATATAGAATTCTGGAGAGCAGGCAGCAAAATGATCCAGGAAGTGACAATGGTCCTTCCTCCAGTTCTGGGGGAAGCAGCTGCCTCACCTCTGCATCCACATCAGCAGGACTGACTCCAAGCTCTTCCAGGGTTTCACCTATAGCCATTCCAGTGATGCTGAGCAATGCTTAGTTGTGTGTGGCAGCTACAAGAAGGGAAGCACAAACACGTGCCAGGGTCAGGAAACAGCCTGTTGGCCATGTTGTTCCTGCTGCTCTTGGGTCTTCCCCATTAGCCCAGGCCCAGAGTCCCCTTCTTGGGATGTGTCTGCAGTAGATGGAGTTATCCAGGCTATTCTTCCCAGAAAGAACTTGAAACAAGTACTAAGAAAACTGGAGGACTGAAACGGAGCTCACGGCTCCTCCTCACCTTTTTGAGTTACAATCTCATCCAACTTTTCCCAGGAAAGTGTCCTCTAGGCTCTTCCCACACCTTAACCCCTAAAGCTGGTGTTGGTGAGATGAAACCTGAGCTCTCAACAAAGCCAATTCCTCATCTGCTTTAGGGGAAAGAAAATGTGTATATATAAACCCCAAATCTAAGGGGCACTTCCAAGATGACTCCACAGAAAAATCCCGAAGCTTTGGCTGTGCTGCAATGCCTTTGGTGGATCTGGACTGTCCATGGCCCTTCTGCAGTTGGGTCCAAGAAAGCCTGAGAATTGATGGAGATTGGTCTGATCAACTACT